ATATACATATATATATATATTTGCAGACCATTTCAGTGTGCATATAAAAATATACACATCTGAAGATCATTTTAAAATATACCACCTTCCTATATCAAATATATACACATCTGAAGAGCATCTTAAAATATACCACCTTCCTATATCAAATATATACACATCTGAAGAGCATCTGAATATATACCACCTTCCTATATAAAACAAAATATACACATCTGAAGATCATGTGAATATATAATACCTTCCAAATAATTTGTATATATTCCATCTTCCTATATAAAATATTGTCACCTGAAGATCATTTGTATATATTCCACCTTCCTGTATAAAATGTATACACTACAAATCTGTAGATCATCTGAATATGCATTTTCCTATGTAAAAAGATATACAAACTCTGAAAATCAACTCAATACCACCTTCCTATATAAATAAATGTACACATCTGAAGATCACCTGAGTATATAGCACTGTCCCATAGATATACACATCAGCAGACCATCTGTCCCATCATCGTCCCATAATGCAAAATATGGACACCATTTGAATACATACCACTTTGTCATATAGATAAGTAATTATACCAATCTGCAGGACAGATCTTCTATAGCACCATCCTTTTTAAATGATTATGCACATCTGCAGATCACCTGAGCATATAGCCCCATCCTATATAAACAATGTGCACATCTACAGATCACCTGAGCATGTAGACCCATCCTATATAAATACATTTACACATCTGCAGAGCTTCTGATTATATATCAATACCCTTTGTAAACAATCGTGCACATCTGCAGATTATGTGAGCATATAGCCCCATCCTATATAAACAATGTGCACATCTGCAGATTATGTGAGCATATAGCCCCATCCTATATAAACAATGTGCACATCTGCAGATTATGTGAGCATATAGCCCCATCCTATATAAACAATGTGCACATCTGCAGATTATCTGATCATAAAAGTACTATCCTATATAAATAAACAATGTGCACATCTGCAGATTATCTGATCACATAAGTACTCTCCTATATAAACAATGTGCACATCTGCAGATTATATGATCATATAAGTACTATCCTATGTAAACAATGTGCACATCTGCAGATTATTTGATCACATACGTACTATCCTTTATAAACAATGTGCACATCTGCAGATTATATGATCATATAAGTACTATCCTTTATAAACAATGTGCACATCTGCAGATTATCTGATCACATAAGTACTATCCTTTATAAACAATGTGCACATCTGCAGATTATATGATCATATAAGTACTATCCTATGTAAACAATGTGCACATCTGCAGATTATATGATCATATAAGTTCTATCCTATGTAAACAATGTGCACATCTGCAGATTATCTGAGAATATAGCCCCATCCTATATAAACAATGTGCACATCTGCAGATTATATGATCATATAAGTACTATCCTTTATAAACAATGTGCACATATGCAGATTATCTGATCATATAAGTACTATCCTATATAAACAATGTGCACATCTGCAGATTATCTGGTCATATAGTACTATCCTATATAAACAATGTGCACATCTGCAGATTAACTGATCACATAAGTACTATCCCATATAAACATTGTGCACATCTGCAGATTATCTGGCCATATAGTACTATCCTATATAAACAATGTGCACATCTGCAGATTATCTGGTCATATAGTACTATCCTATATAAACAATGTGCACATCTGCAGATTATATGATCATATAAGTACTATCCTATATAAACAATGTGCACATGTGCAGATTATCTGATCATATATACTATCCTATATAAATAATATGCACATCTGAAGATCATCTGATCATATAGCCCCATCCTAAATAATATTGCACATCTGCAGATCATCTGGTCATACAGCACCATATAAGTGAGATAGATATATAAATGAGCATATAGCCCCATCCTGTATAGATAAGAAATACTCTCTACACACCAAGCACTTGTAATACACTCGATGTAGGTCAGGATGAAATATGCAGATGATATTTGTGACTAAGCATAAATATTACGAGTTAGCTTGGCACGACACACACATCACTGCTGGGACCAGATGTTTCCGAAGAAGAAAGCTTATAGAGTTGTGTGGAACAGTGCGACAATTGTACAATCACACCCGATAAGCCTATTTGCAGAGACTGTACTGGTATACTGTAAATGGAGGCACAATGTTTTTGAGGAAAATAACAGAAGCCCTGAATGGTAAATGGAATGCTTTTGTATTTTTTGAAGAAGCTACCCTCCAGCCCCACGAAATGTGCACAGTGCACAGGTCGGGGAGATTTGTGAATGATTTGATAAACCGACGAAATTGGAACAATCAAGCCATTATACAATATCAAGTTTCAGTAAATGGGGACCTTGCTGCTCACTTTGATATAGCCTATCGTTTTAATAACATTAACCAAGCAATGAAAGGGTTACTGACAAGTCTCTCCAGTGTCTAAAAGAGATGGGGGGCCAGGAATTCCCAACTAATCCAGATTTTACAAGTCAAAAGGACAGTAGGAGGGGAATTCACTGCAGGAACCCTTCTCCATCCCAAACAGCAATGTAAATAAACCTGGCATTAGCCAAACAATTAATAGACTCTTCGCATGTATAACTCAATTAGAACGCTGTTTCTCCACCCAACCGGTCCTCCCAGCATCACCTTTTCAATATGTAATTACTTAACACTTTATAGCGCCATGGCAGAATAGCTCCCCAAACTCTATGGGATTAATAATGTGGAATTGAAGACTTATTTGTGGGATGTGAAATGCACACCAAACAAGTGATCATCGCAGCCATTGTGTCTTTTATCACTCGGAGACTAATGGCTCAGCGATTTTAGTCCTGATTACAGATGCTGCTTTACATGATGGGCAAGGAGGAGTTAATCTTGTCCTGGATGAGTGGAGCACACTGCTAGCTGCAATATACCATTTAGGTCTCTGGTCCAGACAGGGAGAAGTAAGGAGAGGATACCCCCAAAGCTTGTACAGAAATCTGCTCAGATATCCAGAGGACATAGCCCATTATATGTATAGAAATGACTAGCATTGAACGACACATTTGCTTCTTCAGAGGGGAACAACAATATAAGTGAGACAAAATTACCGATTGATTAAAGAATAAATATAACAGAGAAAGTTATAATCTGTATGTGCCCAATAAACACACACACACACCCATATAATACATGTATCCTTAGTACAAAACATAATCACCAATATCACACACACACATATGATGTGAGAGAGAGAGAGAGAGAGAGAGAGAGAGAGAGAGAGAGAATCAGCCATATATTTAAATTTTTTTTTAAAAGGGGTCAATGTTTTGGAGAAATGGCTGTGATTGCAGGAACATAAGATTCCAGTGTTGACCAGAATTAGGTGGTAATTCGTCTATTCTACATGACAAAGGTACTAGTTTGGACAGAGGTGACTCCCTGCAGTAGAAATGCTTAGTGGCCCCTCTCTATAGAGCTATTGTCCCCTGTACATCGCTCAGGGCTACTCCTTTCTAGGCTCACCTACAAAAAAAAAATGTTTCCCATTTCCACCCCAACTCCTTCTTTTTAGGGTGTATTTCAAAACAAATGAGTTTAAACGTCCCTTATACATGCAAAAGCCAGCCCGTATTGTCTTTTTAATGCGAGCTTTGCCAGCCATCAGCTCAAGTTGCAGGATCCCTGCCTCCCCTCCTGCCTCCCCATGACTAGCAGCATCAGAAGTCTATATAAGAATCGTTGACAAATCGCCAAATCGCAAAGATTCCTTCTTGATGGCAAGTGTGAACTCCTAACAGAGGCTCTGCTCTCCCACCCTTTCTAGTGCCAGGGACCATTTCCTAGCCAATGTAGTCGAGATATAAATTAACTGGTAGCTATGGCTACTGATTACTGATTGGCTGACAGCATGTAAACGTGCCCGGGGACGTCACCAAATCTGAATAAGGATGCGCGAATTGCCAAACCTGGCACACAAAGCTGATTATGGGGCATAGAGGTGGAGTTGGAGAAAGTGTCATTTAGGATATCTCTGTGCATCCAGACAGGAAGTTTCTTCTGCATCTATTTATTATTTTTATTGCATTTTTTTAAATTATTATTATTATTATTCTTGCTGACTGACATTTGGAAGAATTTGGTCTGCACCCTATGAGGAAATCAAGAGGTGGCTTTTTTTTCGGACACAGGTTCATCATTTGGGGAGAAGCCGCATTTGTCAGATGAGTTGTTCTTCCCCTCGGAGATCTTAAGTGAGACTGCTCAGGAGGCAGTGCTGCTACTTCTGCTGTTGCTGCTGCTTCGGGTTTATGTGGATTGCTGTGGGGACATCAAGGTGCTCTGGCTGAATCATGATGGTCCATTGCGCTGGCTGCGAAAGGCCCATCTTGGACCGCTTTCTGCTCAATGTACTGGACCGGGCCTGGCACGTCAAATGTGTCCAATGTTGTGACTGCAAATGCAACCTCACAGAGAAGTGCTTCTCCAGAGAAGGCAAACTCTACTGCAAGACCGACTTCTTCAGGTACGAACTTCGTATTGTCATTGCACTGTGGCCAGGGAAAGGTGTAACTTCAGGCTGGCAAGCTCTCCCTTTCCGCCTTTGGATATGGTACTGACCCAACATAGGTGCCAGGGTGGACGATTTATTCCTGACAGGTCAATGCCTTGTTTATTATTACATATATACCTGGCAATTCTGGACAATTCTCAAAATGAAAGATTAGTAGGTGAGAGTGGCACCAGCATTGGAGGGGGGAAAATACATTGTTTTGTATATTATTATATGCTACATATTATTATATCACAGGGGGGACCTATATGCAGAAGAATACATTAGACAAGGGCAACATTAAAACTTTATATTTATATTACACGCACACTGTGCTTTGGCTAGATTTGCACTTTTGCATGTGAATTGCAATGCAAATAATGTATTAGGTTCTTATGTCCTGACTGGTATCATTGGAATGTCCAGGTCTTTTATCATGCAGACTTACCCTGCCAGAGGGGACCTGGCCAGTGACAGTGTCCTGACACTCCTGATCTGATTTACTAAAAGAATTGAGAAGCTTCACATAATAAATTGCGTGAATGTTCGCTTCACAATCATCAAGTTATGTGGAGATGAAATAAGTAAACAGGAATTTTGACATCATTGGATAATTGAAGAGAACATTCGCACATTTTTTTTTGTGTGTGAGGATCCTTAACTCCTTTAGTAAATCAGCCTCTTAATCTCACACACTGGAATGAATCCCGTAAAAACAATCTCTTTTTAAGGACTAGAATGTTTCTTTGTCACGTTAATTTCGGGACTCTTTTCACATTTTATATAACACTGCTACATTTCCTAGTCACCTTGGACAAGGGCTCGCTGGCATTTGACCGTTTGATCAGAAGACGATTTTTGAGGGCTTAGGAAGGGGTTAATAAGGTGCTTTTTCTCCTGAAATAAATGAGTGCTTAATTTTAATTCGCTGCTCCCTGAAAGTCTCCTCCCAACTAATGTGAAAACTATTTAGGAGCATTTAATGATTTTTGATAAGGTGTAGGTGAGCTAATTATTTTTCTGGATAAGGCAGCCATGACTTATGACCTGTATTACAGACACTAAATCAAAGGCACAGCTCACCTCAAGTCATCACCACTTCGGGCAATGGGGCCGCCTTCCCACGCCACAATATGGAAAAACAAATTTTATTTTCATATTTGTAGTAGTCTATCGATATATTATAAACAATCACAACTAATAGACAACTTGTACATGGCCTTCCATTGGTGCACATAAATGTGGTTATTTTTTCTCCTTTACCAACCAAAATTAATTCTGGTGGGATGCGCTATTCTTCTCTACAACCG